ATATATATCCATTTGAAAGTATATATCATGATCTCCACATTCGAAATAAAATATTAATTAATTTAATCTTTTCCATTTTCATCTTTGTATTCCAATATAATAATTAAAATTATCTATTGTGAATTATATTTCAAATATATGTAAATTATTTAGCAAATGTTACCTAGAATGAATAAAATGTTATCAACTTTCCGCGAAAGTTCGTCAAATTGTTCATTAATGATTGTGGTGTCCATGCATTCCATACTATCTTTGCAATCAAGGAATAACCTGTACGAAAAGAAACCAAAAGTTAGAACAAATATATCAAATGAAGGCAAATAAAAACGATAATCAACTTTATTAATTCTATTAAAAAAGCGTACGAGACAAAATATCGGTAAGAGTGATAATTGAAGAAAAATCCTAGCACGAAAAGCTTCAAATCCTAATCGATTTCGTTATCTTGATGCTCAATGAATTGTTAAATATACGCGTATTAATTAAATGATACTATTAATGAGGTGTAAATGGAAGTAAGAGTATCGAAGTAGGGACGCCACCGATAGGTTAGGAAAATTGCTAATATAATGTGACGTATTACGTATTATTGCCACAAAAGTCAAGAACCGAATGACTCTCCGCGATACGTTTTGCCCTTCAATCACGAAAGTATATAGTAGGGGAATGGAACGAACAAGTTTCCGTATTATTATTTTGTACTTCGAGCTCGTGCGTATTATAGTATACAGTATTATATATATACATATATATATAATACTGAGTTATTCAATTACAAAATTATAATATGTGTTAGAATTATAAATAATTTTTAGTTTTTAATAAATAATTAATTTTATATGCTATTTGTTAATTGTTGAGAATTATATGTAACAATTATTTGGTGAAATCTTAGCTTGAGTTGAAGGCAAACAATGCACGTTTTATCTTAAAAATTTATAACACAAATGCAAATTTAATAGCTATTGATTTAAATTTTTACCTGAGAATTTCTGGATAATACTTCTTTCTTGATGATTCTTCTAGATAACAGTTTTTTCTTTACAGATGAGGTGTGCTTGTTTCCGCCATGTTTCCCGCTTAAAACTCGATCATGAGAAATATCGATTACGTTCGAGAATCGTAGAAGCGTATTGCGTACTTCACCGTTAGGAGCGCTGTAATCGCTCGTTTCGCAGGAAATAACTTGGAATAAAAAATAAATCAAATGATTTAAATTAAATGTACAAAATTCATCATAAATTTTTAAAGAAGAACAAAAATATACACGCACTTGATGAAAAATTATCAATACTTTAAACTGAGACATGTTATTAATTATACAGTAGAATTATTATTTTAGCCATTAAACACGTACATTCTTAATAAATTATTGAATTTAATATTAGAATTCTTAAGAATTACGTATTATAAGATTAAAGAAGGAATAAATGAATAGAAAATGTTACCATAGAAATAAAAGCATATTATATGTATAAATTATTCATATTACAAGGTTATAATATTTGTATTGGTTAGAACTAAAATTAAATTTTAGTATAAAATTATAAATAACTTGTAGCATGGTACGTTCTGTTTAAATATTTATATGCTATTATTTCTTTAATTGTTGAAAATGTGTAATAACTATTTGGTTAAATCTCGCCATGAGTTGAAGCCACAATACACATTTTATATTAAAAATACTACTAATATAAACACAAATCTAATAACTATTGATTTAAATTTTTACTTTAGAACTTCTTTCTGGATGATTTTTCTGGATAACACTTCCTTCTATTATTTACGCGTGTGTTTCTTTCCGCCATGCTTCCCGTTTAAAACTCGATCATGAGAAATATCGATTACATTCGAGAATCGTAGGAAGTGTATTGCGTATTTCACCACTAGGGGCGCTGTAATCTTTAAACCCTGTAAACTAATTTAAACCCAGAAACGCGCGCGTTTCACACGAAATATTAACTCGGAATAAAAAATAAAAAACTCTGGCCTAAATCAAAATTTAAAAAAACGAAAATATTCATACTCTAGACTAAAAATTGTCAATATTTTAAACTGTCATAATTTCATGGAAAAAAATTGTAGAATAATTAACTTGATTTTATTTTAAAGCGCAAAGTCTCTATTTTAATAATCCTGAGTTTATTTCTTTCAAAGATATTTATTTTTACATCATACAACAAATGTAAAAGCAAATACTTTTCTTCTCGAATATTGTAAAAGTTCAAACGTCTCACCGAAGAATTCTTCATCACTGAAAAATTTTTTCCATAACCTGATAAATCATAATTTGGAAGATTGAAATATTTTCATTACAATGAGTCCTTAAAACTATGATATTTTTTCGCCATTTATTTGCAATCACTGGTCCAATTAACGATTTCGTAATGAGAATAAATTACAGATAACATAGGAAACATTTTGATTTCCCTTGAAATTAGAGGAATATTTTAGGACATGAGGCAGAAAGTTTTATAATTAATCAAAGATAAAATCTATCTTTAGCTAAAATGATTTTATGTAATGTCATTTCTAAAATGTTATTATTTAATATATCTATAAATCTATATTTATATTTACGTTTATATTTATAATAATTGTTTTTTATGTCAGACATAACATTTAAATTACTACCAATTATTATTATTTTCTCTCTTGCGAAATTCATTCATTGTTCGTACATACATAAGTATA